AGTGGTTCTTTCTACAGATGTAATCGATCTGATTCCTCTGCATACCATCAGGTGAAATCCAAGTATATAACCAGCATCTATGTCTCTCAAAAAAAGTATTTGCTATGAATAAGTCATTGATTGTGCAAAATTCAATCATTCTCCCTCCAGCTCCATTTCTGTCACCGAGTCCATGTTTTCCAACTACTGAATCTTCTTCTCTGTTCCCGACTTTTGTATTCCAGTCACCCATTATTATCACTGCATCTTGATTGCATGTTTGATTGATCTCTGACTGTAAAAGTTGGTAAAAATCTTCTATATCCTCTTCCTTGGCTCTGGTTGTATTAATATACCAAAATCATTTAGTATACTGTATTAAATCTAGCTTAGAAATTAGGCCTCATTTTCTTAAAAAGAAATTAACAGTAAAGCTTAAAAGGTCTTGAGAATTCACATTTAAAAAGACTAAGTAAAGGATTTGAAATAATTTTCAATGAGAAGATTAACATATTTTTATTTTAGAAAGCAACTGAAAATTAAATTATGGGAAAACAAGCAAAGATAGATGAACATTCTATTCTGGAAAAAAGTATCAATGCTCACTGTTTTTGAAATAGTGTTTTTGAGTAAAGGATTTCCCTTCCATGATAATCTCTAAGACCATGCTAAGAATGTAGTAAAATCCCAACAAATGCCACTATATTTTTGTTCCCCCTGTCCTCGAGAGAGATGTGGTTAGATGCTTGTTGGAGCTCTTTCTTTTGCCTTGAATTTAGACTGCTCTTGTTTTCATAGTTACCTAGGAGTAGAAGTTTGCCCAAATAAGATACACCAGAGAACTCAAGAAAGAAATGCCCTTGGAAGAAGGTTTAGATTAAGTGTGCTGAATGCTCATAGTTTCCTTGCCTGGACTTAATCTTGAGATAATTTCTTCTTAAAGAATTGGCAGAAAATTTCTAGCCCTAAATAAGAATGCCAGGCTATTTGCAAAAGTAAGACATTTGATTTCTAGAATCATCCTAAAACAGTCAACTCTCAAATATGTTGTCAATCTTTGGCAACATGAAATAAGCCCTTTTAATAAATGTGTAATGAGTTTGTCAGAGACAAAGGAAAGAAGCAAGTTCAGGTTGCAGTTCTGAAAGATGATGACATTTCCATCTGGGAGAGCAGTTAGTTTCTCCCAAGATTGTCAATCTACATTAATCAAAATCACAACCACACAGTTTGGTCTACTTAATTTTCAGTTATATTTCCATCCATTCATTCATTTTAGAACTGGTTAGTCTTCGAAAGAAATATTCTCAAAAGAAGGGAGGCTGAGTGGTGAAAAAAAACTGCAGAAGTCTATATGAACCGCAAAGGCCTAGAGAAACTGCAACACACTCAGCTCAAAGAGAGACCTGTTGGCTAGACGGTCATATGTTTATAACACATATCTGGGTTGATATCATTTAATGTATTGACCTAATCAGTGGCTTATTTTGTACAAAAATAAACTAACAAAGGATATTGTGAGATGATCTTGTAAATACATCTTAAAAGTACACATGACCTGGTCTGGTTTTGTACCTCATTCCTCTCGCCCAGCAGGCATTACACCTAATTGTGTCACTCTTTTAGCCAGGCATATCTTTTAGATTAGAATTCTTTTTGACACAATATTCCTGGCTTAAACCAATTGCAAATGTTTAGGTGCTAAAACTAAATGCAAATCCCCAAGTTTGGGGATTGATATTACTGAACTAACTTGTCCAATAAATTATTTAAGGACATTACAGGTACTCTATGACAATCCTCTTTAAAAAGATATAAACACAATAGTATGTAGATCGAGCATTAGCTTTTATTTCTCTACTCATCAGCAACCAATACTATTGCCACTGAGTGAATTCTGACCCACAGTAATTCTGCGTGGTGAAGCAGAGCTGATCCAGAGGGTTGTCAAAGCTGCATGTTTTCACAGAAGCAGACTGATAGGTTTGAACTTCTGGTTAGCAGTTAAATACTGTATCCATAGTAGCATCTGAGCTCCTTTAGACTAATCCGCTTTTGAGTTAGTCATTTTTCCCCCCAAATGACTCGAATTTCTTCAAGAGTATTTGCAATGATCTTGGTGAATAAATATTCACCAAATGGTAGAAGATTTAAAGCTTTTGTAGGGGTTAGTTAAAAAGAAAAGGCAACATGAAAAGAGATGCCCTACACCCATTACATTTTTGACAGAGCAAACATGCGCTAGACAAAGACTGAATGAACTACTAAAAATAAATTTTCTGTTCTCTTTTTCCCCCTAAGCTATCCAGCTCTGCAAACAAAGTTATTTCTCATTTTATATTTTTAAAAAGGAATGCCACAAATTCCTTAGGGCAAATATACAAGAAAGTTTTGACAATGTCTTAAACTATGAAGCTGTCACTTATTTACTGAGATGTATAAAGCTGGCAACTGGTAGTCACGGGTGGAAAATGATTGCTTCTGGATTTTCTTACTTGTGACCTTTATTTAACGTGCCAGAAACTGTTTGGTGTACATGAGGTGACCTTTGGAAACGTCTAGGTCATTTCTAGCTGGAATACAAAGGGGTCATTGGTAAGGACATGCTCATTGCATAATATAAAAGGAAATGGGGATTTTGGATGGTACAGTAAATTCAACTAGCCTGAAGTAAAAATGTATTTTTAAACATAATTGTCTGAGAGTTGAGTTCATGTTTTTCAGTGAGTAAACCCTTCACCAAAGCCCTCGGTTAGATTCAGCTAGTAAATTTCAGTGAAGCCTTTATGAACATGTAGAAAAGGGAAATATGGAAACATCATTAATATAGTACAAATATAATTTAAGAGAAAGATTTTGGTAGGAATAACAATTAACAGACTTGCTTAACTTCTTCTAATTAAGATAAAAGAAGAACTTAAGTATATTAAGCAGCTTTGAACACAATTTGGAGACAACAAAACCAGCCAGTGTCTCACCATGCACTTCCACTCTGGTGGTTCTGTTATTGGTCCCGGCAGCATTACTGGCCACACAGGTGTATTCGCCTCCATCCTGAAGACGAACTCGTTCAATGTGAAGGCTCCCATCACTGCGCACTGTGATGTATGGATTCTGGACCAACTTAAAAGAGGCAAAAATCATTTTCGTTAAATAAAATTTGCCTGCGTCATATTGCATCTCCTCTCTCATCCTCCAAACTGGAAAACCGTCCTACAAAAGAACCTATTTTACCATTTAAGTGAAAAATAGTAAGTATAAAGTGTTACCAAAAACAGCACCAATTATATAAAATTTTGTTATATATCATATTATTCTGTTTATAAACACTGATCTGAGTTATGTGCATGCTGCAAAAGGGAATGAGAAACATCAATTGTTTTAAGTTACTGTAATTTTTGCTAACACTCAAGTTCCAAATTCCACATTTGGCTTATATTGTTATTGTCTAAGTAGAATTTAATGTCAGCTATGAAGCAATTTTATATTTCTGTTTTGGCATATAGTCAAGCTGAAGGGAAGTGGCTTAACACTCAGCATTCATTTTGTCATGTCACAGATGTAAAGAGAAAAGGACAAAGTCATCTATTGTCACATATAAATGGCATACCCATAGAAACTGAGTCACAGGAGAATGGCAATATTTTCAGTCAATATCTATCACCCCTGAATCTATATTATTTAAGCATACAGTATAACAATGACATATCTCAGTGTCCAATTTCAAATTAACTTATAAGTGTATTCTTAATTCAGCCAGATATTGATATAAATTAGTTAACTTTTCTCATGTTTTTATTTAAATGTGAACAATTCCATACTTTCTTCTATACAGTTGAGTCTCTCCTAAAAAGTGATGCAAGAAAATAATATGAGAGTATAAAAACTTCTGGAAAAAAAGAAAAAAATGGTCTGAAGAACATGGTAGTATATTTGTGATACAATTTATAAAATTGTGAAAAAAATTTATATCCTTTGATAACTATGAGTTGTATGATGAAAAGCTACAGTAAAATATAATTTTGGGTTTTATATAGTTCATGTGAAAATAAATAATAATTATAGTTAATGTTAAATATAAAATTAAAGCATTTAATGGTAATAAAGCCATTTAATATCCTAAAAGGAACCAAGTATTGAAATGTTATGAAAATACGTTAGGACATTCTTGAGATGAGTTTATTAGTAACATTGTATTTAGTGTGAAATTATGGAAATTATATAATTTTTTTCTGTTTTATTGATAGCAAAACAATATGAACTTTGAAGGCATGTTAACTCTGAAAGGAATTTTCATTATATATACAAACATGTATTTTGTACATTTATTTGCTGTGATTTCATGATTCAGTGGTTAGCGCATGTTGCCTTTTCCTTAAATAAACTAGAAACATGAGTGCCTGACTTTAAATATGTTCTTACCATAGCTGAGTTCTTAATCCACCGCCGTTCTGGGATGGGATTCCCAGCCAATAATGCACAAGGCAAAGTAAGTTGTTGTCCTTCAATTACATTGGCCACTCCTGGGCTGATTCCAATAAGAGGGGCAACTAAATCAGAGAGAGCAGGTGCTTTGAACAATAAATATTTCATCCAAAAGAAACACTATCATTTTCTAGGTTAAGGCTTCAAAAATTTAAGCTTTCAAGATTTGATTATAAATAGTAAAGGATATGAATTTGAAATAAGAGAATAAAGGGTATCTGTGGACAAGGACAATTACCAGAAAACAAATACCAGTGGAGATGTAAGACAGTGAGCAGAACAACACTAGATATGAGGTAAGAGGATGGAAAGTGAGAGACAGGAAATTTAAAATTATTCAGTGGACAAATGCAAAGTAACTGAAAGCATATAAGTAGAAAAGTAGGATCACTGGACACATTCCTTGGAAATATTAATCTAAACAGAAGCTATTGGGTAAGGGCAGATCTGGAAGAAAAGAGATTATTAAGGAATCTGTTAATAGAATGAGATGGTCTCTCCTTCTGCAAAGAAGTACTGTAACTGTCCTCTTCTAGAAATCAAGGAACAAATATAACTTAAAGTAGAATTTTATTCTTTTTTTTAATTTAAAATAAGGTTTATATATGTAAATAATGTGAGATAACTCAAGAAAATTTTGTGGAAGTTGTGAATATTTGTTACTTAATGAGAAACTTACATTATTAGATTTAAAAATCATGTTACATGTTATAATAAATTAAACAATGCAGTAACCATGCAGAAATATAACAGAATGCCAAGACTATTTTAAGACAGTTTAGTAAAAGATGTAGAAAAAATATTATATTCTTTACCTGACATCATACAATAAAAATAATTCCACATGAAGTAAACTGACAAATATGAATAAGATAACCTAGGAAAACTCTCTATATATATTCATATTTAAACTTAAAATGACTTTATTGGATTTGACCTTCATTTTACCAAGTGAAAATTGACTGGTACTATATGTTTTTGAAAGTTATTTCTAGTTCTAATGTTCAAACTTGAAATGCAGGACAAAAGGTAAGGTTAATCTAGTAATTAGATATTTACTAAGGTGTTTTCTCTTGATTTTATTTGTTATTATAAGTGACATAAGTAGTAACAGATGATATTATAAACGGAAGTCTGATGATTCTAGTGAGTGTTATTTCTTGGCACTTAATTGATCTTACCAAGTCCTGTCACCGTTATTGTTGTCTGGGATTGGATCTTTCCAAATTGATTTTCAGCTTCACAAATATAGATGCCTTTATCACTTGCCCATAAGTCTAAAAAGAAGAGGTGATTTAGTCATTCAACACCATCTACAAAACATTACCTATATATCATGTACAGTTCTGAGAGCTGGGAACAGAATGTCTAATATTGTTTTCATGAGTTCCCATCCTAGGGGAAGAGAGAGACAGAAGACAGCAATTAAAAATACAGTGAGATGTATTCGCCACTATGTTCTGAGTTTCAACAAACAATCTGCAGAAGCAAAGAGACAGGAGTGACCAAAAGTGTGTAGGGGGAATGAAGGATTCACACTGTTGATAATATTTGTGCTGAGCATTAAAAGCCAGATGAAACAAAGGAAGGACGATCTTTGCAGCTAATTTATTGCAAAGGCAAAGCCTGAAAAGCTATGAAAACTGTTCAGAGATTGGAAAGCTGTACCATCAATAGACACTGGGAGCTTAGGGAACTTGTTGGGAGTAATTTTTCATTGGAGCTGTTTTTGATGCAATGACTCGAATGGCATCTAGTGAGCAAAAGTTAGGGATACAGCACATGGGAGACTCTAGGAAGGAGGAAGTCCAGGAAGACATTTGAAGGTCTCAATAGAAAAGGATTTGATAATTCTAGTTATAATCATTAAGCCTATATCCCATTTCTGTGTAAGAGAGAGAATAATATATAGTAATAATATTTAACATTTTAGAAAGTTTTCAGTCATTGGCCTCAATTTGCAGTTGGGTTGCTGAATTTATGTTGATAATACATAAAAACATACTTAAGAGTATAGATATTGCTAGAACATTTTGCATGCTATATAGTATTTTACTATAACTTGCTTTATCTTATTTCCTTTTTGTATTATATGTAGGGCACAGTGGCATGATGGTTAAGCACTCAGGAAGGTTAGCAAACTAAATACTTAGCAACTCTGTGGCTTAAGGACCTCTTGATCCATTGACCCCTGTAAAGATTTCAGCCTAGGAAACCCTAGAGGGAGAGCTACTCTATCCTGTTGGAATAAACTGCATAATACACAAAAACAATAACACAGTGGACTATATTACTTTCCTTTCAAAATAGTAAAGGATGAGATATTATAAAACACTTGTTATAAAAAGAAGGTGTTGAATCGCTTCTCGGCCTTTTGGCTAAGATCAAGTGTAAAAAGAAGGTGTTGAGGCAGACTGGGATGGGGAATGTTTGGTTAGAGGATGTACGAGAATAGTCAAGAGACTGAAAACCTCGAGTGGTCTGGAACCTCGTAAGAAGTGTGGCTTTGTCCTGTGAATAAAAGGAAAAGCAAGAAAAGGTTTTAAACAGAGGAATGATTCTACATTTTGCAAATGTCTTAAGAAATTAAAAAAAAGAGTTTAATCTACTGATAAGATTTTGACAGAAAAAAAGCTGATTTCCCTAATGTATAACTTTTAACTAATTTAAAGACATGATAGTTTGTACTTCTGTGCTAATTACACATATTTAGGTGCCAAAATGCACTTGGTAAACTTAGAAGCTATCCACTTTAAACAGAGGCAAACATTTATTTTGAGACAAAAATCTAAGAAATCACTTGGATAATAATTAATGCACCAATTCTAACCAACATATTTCAAATGTTATTAAAGCTTATACTGATTTATGTAGAATTACACAATGATACAAAAACTATGCTTTCAAATCATTCGTTTCTTTCTATTTGCCAGTTTGTCACTGATACTTAATATGTATAATAAGCAGGGGCATTATTGCTGAAGGCTTCCCTTAAATATACCAAATATCCAGTTACATTTTAAAACCAATACATCATCTCACTGCTTCTCCTGAGAATAATCAAAGTTATTTCAAATAACCAATCACTTAATAACTTATAGCTGAAATTTGGGGGCAACTAAATATTTAACTTATTGTTAATATCTCTCTTCAGGTAGGTATAGATTTTAATTAAGGAGTTGTCATAGCTTTGCATGTTATGAGTTACTGATGAAAAAATAGTTAATATACTACTAGTAATACTTTACCATTCTTTATTATAATTTGTGCAAGAGTGAATAAAATAGATGTACTTTTCTACTAAAAGGCCCAAAGGTCTTTATTTGCAAAGAAACAATGAAGTGTGAAGAAGTCATATTGTTTGAGAAGTCTTTATGGCAAACCAATGGAATACATTTGAATAAAAATAGCTTTTATTGCAATTCCAAAATATAAAATTGCACTGGGAAAATTTTGCTGTCAAGGATCTCTTTGAAAAGATATCAGTTGAACTAACTCAGTCCCACAAGGACAAATATTGTATAAAATCATTATTATAGAATGAGTATGAGGATCCAAGCGGGGTGGGTGGAGCAGAGGGATGAGGATGTGCAGGGATGGGGGGATTATTCATGGGGTTGTACAATTTGATGGATGAGGAGGTGAGGGAAATTGGAAGAATCTGGTCTGGGAAACAATGTATTTAATTTTGTAAAAATCGAGTAATAATAATAATAGTAGTAATAATGTTGCTGTGTATCATCAAGTCTGAACCGACCCATAGCTGACCCTTTAGCGGGTTTTCAGAGGCAGTTAACTGCAGAGGAGGAGACTGCCCATCCTTCTTCCAAATAGTAATAACAATAACAATAATAAAGATATGAGTTGAAAGACTACAGTGGGCCCAAACCAGGCCATAGTATTTTTCAATTGCTTCCTATGCATCTGAAACTGGGACAATGAACAAGACAGATTAAAGGAAAAGCATTGGCTTTGAGTTGTGGTTTTAGCAAGTAGTATTGAATATGTCATGGATTACAAAAGAACAAACAAAAGTATCTTGGAAGAAGTCCAAGAGGGTGCACCTTAGAAGCAAGGGTGGTGAAACTTTGTCTCACATACTATGGGCATGTTGTCAAAAGGGGTCCATCCTTGGAAAAAGACTTTCTGGGAAAGGTCATAAAAAGAGTAGAGGACCCTCACGGAGAGAGATTGACATAAGTGACTACAACAATGTGCTTGAGCATGTCAGAGGTGGTAAGGATGCAGGATGGGGCACATTTCACATCTGTTGTTCACAGGGTCACTGAGTCACACTAGACTTGAAGGTATTTAACAACAGCAATTTAAAGTGAAATGCAACAAAGGATGTTGGCATGATTAATTATTTAAAAATATAGTAACACTTATGTCTGAAATTTTGCAGATGTCTAACACATATGCTCTTAGTTGTAAAAACTATATTTTGTTTAACCTACTTGAAATGAAGAGTGCTCCTGTTCTTAGTTGGCTAATGGAGCTAACTGAAAAGGGTCTTGAGAAGAGTGGCATGTTATCTAATCGTCGCCATTTGATCCTTGGTTCTGGATAACCTTGAACATAGCATGGTAATGTCACATTTGACCCAATGTCCATAGATACATCTGGAGGCTCCTGTATGAAAACTGGAGGTGCTGGAAGATATTTTCAAATAAAAATAAAAACAGATCATTGACACAATTCATAGGCACATTAAATATACACTTAAGCTATTAAGCAATCAGTATATTGAGTTTGAAACATACCACTACTGATCATCTAATATTATATGCTAACATCTTAATTATCTCTCTGATATAGGAATAGTACACATCTTTGCTCTCTAAATGCCTTTGCATAGTCAATGAAACACAGATAGACATTCCTCTGGTATTCCCTGCTTTCAGCCAAGATCCATCTAACATCAGCTACAATGGCCCTAGTACCACGACCCCTTCTAAACGACATAATTATAGGCATACTTTAACGCTTAATAGCAACTAACACAGTGCTTTATACATTACAAATTATCATAAAATATTTGTGATCAGATTACTGAATCAATGTTAAAACACTGCAACAAATAATGCTCTCTGTCTTTGTGTCTGTGTGCCTGTGATAACAACCTTACCTTAATCTACTACATTTGAACTCATGCTTTTGAAGGAAAAATGATAACTACAGAATCTATTGTCTGTTTTTTAAAGCTAAAAATTAAGTTAAAAAAATTAGATGAAATACAATATGTTTTTTTAAAATGAAGTATCTGTGTCTACATTTCTCTCAGTCCATTCAAAGGAATTTAATTGACAAAAACAATTGATAAAAGGAATAATAGCTTCTAACATAGCCAATAGTTGCAAATTCCAGATTTCCAAGACATGGTTAATTTTCTCTGGGTTAGTTAACAGCCATTCATTTTCAAAGAGTTAAATTTTCTGAGAAACAGAGTTTCAGGGTATGCTCAGATTATGGGTACATGAAATTTGAAGGTAGGATAGAATTTACAGAATAGCAGAGGACTTGTAAAAACTTGGTGGTAGCTAAGTACATCACTAAGAGTAAGGAGGTCCTGAGACATTAAAACACAGACACTGGTGAAATTTATAAAGTCCAGAGCTAAAACAAGCAAGAACGAATGTATTAAAAAAAAAAAAAGTAAGCAAAATTCAAATTGTGCACAGAAAACTCAGTTAATACAGGAGAAGTCTCGTGTAGAAAAGATGTTTGGGGAACAGTAGTAGACATAAGAACATTAAAAAAAAACAACTAAAGAAATATCTAAAAGATCACCAATTAAGGAAAATACATAGCAGTCCCTAAAAACACGGCAAATGAGACTAGCAGGCACGAGGTAAGCAGCCAAGACAGCACAAAGAAGACTTCGATGACAAGCAAACCTCAAAAATGAACAAAACTCAGGCCAAGAAGCTTTTTAAATACTTCCTACCACTGAGTGTGGCCAACTTGGACAGCAAGTGAATTACACCAAGTGGATGGTAAACAGATTACTGAGAATATGGAGTGAGAAAGCCGCCAGTAAGAGTATTATATACAGAGAATTACATACAGTGCTGTGTAGCTGAGAGAGTTTGAGGGGGAGGGAGGATTAATCATGGGTTTGTACAATTTGATGAATTGGGGGAGTGAGGGAAATTGAAAGAATTTGTTCTTGAAAACAATGTAGAAAAATTTTGTAAATAAACTAGCAGAAAATAAAAACAAAATAACACACACATCAAACAAAACAAAAGAGTCCATCGGCTGGTTTTGATGGCAGTTCCACTGCTTCTTAGGCAACTTAACTTTTCCCAGGTTTTTTTCCCATGAATGAAAAGAGGGTAATAACATTCTCCTTGCCATGTTGTTAAAAGAAGATACTCGTGTCCACAGTAAGCACATATTCACTCTCATTTACTAGAAATATTATGGAGTTAACTGAGAATCTCTTAGTTTTAGAACTTATTATGTCTATTTTCAGTCTCATCTTTTTATTTTTAACATGTAGTTTAGTCGCTGTAGATCTTGTTCAATTCTCCATTATCCCCTAAGAATTTGCACATTAGAGCTACACTAAGTCAAGCCTCAGGTGTTACTAATAGATTTGTGTGCACCCATTATTTTGAAAACAAAAATTTAAAATGGTTGTTCATCTTGTACTAAAACTTACTGCAAAATTATTCTATTTCTTTTAATAATAATCACACACACACACACACACACACACACACACACACACACGTACGTTACAGCAATCCCTGCGTTATATTAGTCCAACGGTGGTTTTGGGTTTGGTTTCTTTTTTTTCCCCTTAAAATGGATGGACACACTGGTGCTACCAAACCACAAAATACACAACGTGGACTAAGACTCAACCCCTGTGTTTAGTGCAGATTGCTACAGATGAAGTCACTGCCAGGCCAAATTTTTGTTTGATGTAGACAATCTTACTTTCTTGCAAAAGAATTCACAGTTCACCAATGCTTTTCAAAAAAAGATGAAAATCATTAGTAGCTTTCCTTGTTGACCTGAAATGTCCAGAGCTTAAAGCCACAACAATGTGAAATAGGAAAAAGGAGATTCACAGCAAGAAACCAGAACTCAAGAATAATATTAAACAGGATGCATTATTTTTGATCTATTCTTGCTGATATGAAGCAACAGGTTCACAAAAACATTATTAAAGCTGAAATAGCCATATGATCTGAATAAAAGTATGTTCCTCCCCGCCCCCTCCCTGGCCCCATCACAGGCTACTTAAATTTATGCTCAATAGTTCGGGAGCATGCGTGAATAATTTTATGCACTAAGAGTTTAACACCAGCAGTCAGGTAATCAAAAGACAAATTGCACTGGGAAAATCTGCTATTATGGACCTCTCCAGAATGCTGAAGAGCAACAATGTCAGTCTACATACAAAAGTGCACCTAATCCAGGCCATGGTCTTCTAAATTACTTGTTATGCTTCGGAGAGTTGGACAATGACTAAGGATGACAGAAGAAGAACATATGTTTTTCAGTTGTAGTGCTGGAGAAGAGTCTTGAATATACCATGGACTGCCAAGAAAACAAATAGGTCTGTCTTGGAGAGGGTGAATCCAAGTGTCTCCTTGGAGGCTAGGATTTTGAAGCTCTGTCTCACTCACATACTTTGGGCACGACAAATAGCCTGATACACTAGACTAGCATGTAGCCTAATATACTAGACTGACACGTAGCCAGGAGAGATCGATCGGTTCTTAAAGAAGGACAGCATGCTCGGAATGGTGGATGGACAGTGCAGGAGAGGAAGACCCTGGATGAGAGGGATTGGTACAATAACCAGGGTGATGGGGGTTGGTGTGTGGAAGTCCGTGAGACTGGCTCAGGACAGAGAAGGGTTCAGAGCTACTGTACATAGGGTTGCTATACATCACAGGTGACTCAATGGCACATAACAATAATAACATACTATGACAGATTTGGAAGCAGTTGTGGCATCTACTTTCTAAACATGCCTCCAGAAACTCTATGAACTTTGATAAATATCAATAATTGTAGAGGGGCTTTATGGCTTTTTTTCATAGGGTCATTATAAGTCATGCTTGATTCGAAGACAATCAACAACAACAACAAGAGTTTAATAAGAAGCTCTTAAGGGGTTGTTCGCCCAACTCAAAGGGAGGCAGTTTGAATCCACCAGCTGCTCCAAGGGAGAAAGATAAAAATCTTCTCCAGCGTGATTTACTGCCTTTGAAAACCCACTGGAGAGTCAACTATGAGTCAGTTACAACTTAATGGTAAAGAAGCATTTACTGCTTTATTTGCCCCCAATCATTTTTCGGGAGGTGGGCAGGGGGAAAGACTAAATGAAACAGTGAATTTCATATTATAAGCATAATGTTTAGTCTCAAAGTAGTTCACTAGGATGGTTTTATATAGATTTAGCTGTACAGAAAAGAGAGAGATCTCTTTCTTTCTCTACATGGAGAGTGGAGGGACAGCACAGGAGGGGAAGGCCCTCTATGAGGTGGATTGATTCAGTGACTGGGGTATTTGAGATGGGTGTATTGGAGACAGTGCGATTGGCACAGGACAGAGCAGAGTTGAGGACTGTTGTACATAGTGTCGCTATGAGTCACAAGGGACTCGACAGCACATAACAACAACAACAACAACTCTACATGTACATGAATTTCTATATTTTTCAAAACTCCAAGAATGAAAATTGTCAGTTAGTTTAGTTAGTATCTATTTATTTGACATGTGTTGCCTGAACTAGGTTCATAGGAGCACTAGAAACCACTAGCATGATGAATATTAACCAAATTTTAGATTCCACACACTGGGCATGGGTTCTTGCTATCACCTTGGAGGGTAAGTATCACTTAAATTTTTATTTTGTAGTTCAGGAAAGTCAGGCAGAAAGGTCACACATTAAGTGGTGGTAGAGTTGGGATTCAAAAATCTAACCTCTCAACAGAGAAATAAATCATTGTGTACATTCAGGGGAAAGTTTTGATTTTATAGTTGTTTGTTTCTTTTTTAATCTAATACATATAACCACAACATTCATCATGATTATGATTTGCATGGTTCTTGACAGTTATATCTTGAATTTGCCACAATATATATTCATGATTTTATGTGAACAGTCAAGGTCTAATCAATCTCTCTGAGTATAATGAGCAGGGTTCTAACTATGAATAATAAAATGGTTAACGCACAACAGTCACGGAGGAATAATTCTGATCTTATACTAAGTTATCTGGCAACTGTTAACAAGATCAAGGTTACAGAAAGCAAACAACTGGATTAATTCCATTAGGGCAATTACTGGAATAGGAGTTGAGAAAGCCATAGTTTTAGAGTCAGAGAGGGTGAGGGTCATATGAATGTGGGTGAAGATAATGCAAAATTCAATTCAGCTCAAGGAATGAAGTGTAAAACAAAACATTTGTTGGAATGTTTCTTAATCCAATCAATGCAAGTCACCGCAGCACAGCCAGCCTCAACCCATACATGCTGTATCACTGGAGAACAGGGAATTTGGAAAATCCAGAACCTACATAGATTTCCAAGAAGTTAATGAGCAAGGGGGAAAAAAATGTGTAGGATTGTTCGAGTTATACAGATAGGGGTGAAAATGTCATTGCAAGCTGGGGTTGCTATTCTCTTCCTCTTAAACAGTACAATTCTAGAAGTATGTTGAGTAAAAATGAAATACATGGGGGGGAAAAAGGAGGGAGAAACAAAATGTTGAGAATGAAGATGCGGTGCATATAATTTCCAGAAAACAAGAATTGTGTATGCATTGATATGAGCTTTTCTCAGTTGGGTCTGACTTTCACAGCTTGCCGGGAGATCCAGAAACGTCCTGCATCCAGAGAGTCTAATCTCATTTCCAAGGCACTTCTCTTAATAACCACAGAGTTTAGTCATGGTTCAAACATGTCTTGATGTGCTCTAGAGAGTCCACACAGTGGTCTTTGTGGCCATTCTCAGCTTGTTGATTCTACCCTAAGGACATAATCTTCAAGAATGCAGAACAGTCACAAGATGGCCTGAGAGCAAAAGCATCATACAAGATCACGGGAAGTAAAAATTACTTGATATATATAAAGGGGGGAAAATAAGTTGTGGGGCCATTATATTAATTTAAAGAAGAGAACTAAAATGTTGCATGTTATTTTGTTATGTTATGAAATGCATTTTATTTATAGTGCCTAACTAGTTAAAAAAATACCAAAAACCACAAAACACCAAAATCACAAAAACACCCAGCTTTTGCCTAAATGCCATCACATTTTTGTTTTTGTTGTTGGTTGCTATTAAGTGGATTCTCACTCATAGCAACCCCACCGCAGGCAAATGAAAATACAATTTAATGAAAAGTGATAGTTTATAAACTTTGAGTGATGAAAACGTTGGAATTACTTCTTTAAACTGAGCTGCCAACTTGTTTTTCATACAAACTAGTTGTTTTAGTTCATATTATGCCACACTGTATACAGTTTTTTGAGAGACTTAGAGAAACAAAAATAAAAAGGGAAGACCAACTTCTTGACACAATTAATTATTAGCTATTAAGATGTTGTAGCTTTTACATAAAATATTTATTTATAGTTAATACTTTATTTTAGACATTTAATAATAAATTAATAATAATAATAATAATAATAAATAGCTATGTACAATCTACTACATTTGCTGTAAACATCATCTCCAAATTATAGTCTGAAACCAAAGGCTCATTTCTGGCCTCCAGATGTTAGTAATTAAAAATATGGTGTTAGAATAGCTGACTTCTCATTGGAAAATGTTTGGCAATATCTAATATACTGGTTAAGACCACAGTCTCCGAAATAAGAAAGATTTCCTGAGAAACCAGTTTCTGTGAACTCAGTTCTGACTCATGGTGACTCTGTTTGTAACAGAATAGATTTATACTTAACAGGGTTTCCAGTAAGTAAATCTTCTTAAAATTATCAGACCTCTCTTCTGAGGCACCAGTGGATGGACTCAAACCACTAACCTAACTGTTAGAAGTAGCATGCGAAACACATGCACAATGGAGGAACTCCAAAGTCAGAAAATCTGGGTTCAAATATTCAGGCTCCTCTTCCTCTGCACATTGACTCTCATTAAGTTGATTTGTCTTTCTAAGACTTATTTTCCATCTTTATAAAACTGACATCATAATAGCATCACTTTCTTATTAACACTGCCAAATTATTGAGATAATGCATATGAAGATTATCATAAGACCTTGTAAATAGAAAACAATAAATGCAACATATAATTATGGTATTTGTTGTTAGGTGCTATAGAGTCGACTCTGACTACTGTACAACAGACTGAAGACTTTCCTGATCCTGTGCCATCTTCATAATCTCTGTCAAGCCTAAATGCATTGTTGCAGTCACTGTGTCAGTTCATCTTGAGGGTCTTCCCTTCACCAACCCTCCACATTTCCAAGCATTATGTCTTCTAACAATGACTGGACCCTCCTGACAACATGCCTATAGCATGTGACATGAAATAGCAACATTTTTGTTACTAAGAATAATCTAGTTGCACTTCTAGTTATCATAAATTTTCACTTTGCTGTTGCCATTCTGATAAATATGCCTTACCAACCCTTTCAAAGGAATTAAACATGGAAAAGCCTGCAGATCAATATTGAAATAAGGTTTATCTATCAAAATTGGGATGCTTACAGCCAACGTCCAGAGTTATTTTGCCAGTTGCTCTTCCAGCATCATTGATGGCTATGCACATATAATCACCAGCATCTAGATCTTGTGTTTCTTGAATCTTCAATTGTCCCAAAAGAGGGTCAATGATAAGGAATGTTGATGGCCTCAGCTCAAGATCCCCTACACCAAATCAAAAGGAGAGAATATTAAACACTAAAGCACTTATGTGGTATTTACATTGACTCTGCAATTGGTTTGATTTCAAAATTGAAGAAAATTGAAAAGTTTGGTGTTTTTTTTTTAAATATAAGTGTTTGGTGCAAAGTAGACTATGTCCATGCAATGAAAGAATGAAGTGTTTATTGGTATCTTATTATTACATATAATTCTATACACTAGCCTATAACCAAAAATCCAGACCTAAAGTGATTTTTTTACTGATTGTTTCTAAATTTATATGTATCTAAGTAAGAACAAGCTCTTTGAAGCTCCACTGAGGAACTAGAAATTGATGGCAGTTCTAATGACTGTGGTAGGGAAACAGAAACTTGAAAGAGAGGGCAGAAAGAGGCTTCTTTCTAGTGTCTCTGTGGAAAATAAAACTATCCATTTTCCAGGCAATGTTTGAGCAATTAGACATGTTCCGTGTTGGGATAATGACCAGTTTTTTTTGGTTTGTGGAAGAGTACTTAGTTAGATTTTGTTTTGGAAAGGAGGTAAGTTGACTGAAAAGATTCTGAGGAAGGCAGGGAGGAAGGAACAACTTTTAGCTGAAGAGAACAGGGAAGGGCATGTTGGAAGAAGTGAAGAACATCCAATGACAGTAACAGGGTTTTGTTATAAGTCTCCTAAGACAATGTCACTAAATTTGAATTTGTTGCTGTTTTTAGGTGCCATCAAGTCGAGTATGACTCATAGCAAGACTATAAATTGTAGATCTGAACCCCGTCCTATCCTGTGCCATCTTCATACTTCCTAACACACTAGAGCCCATTGCAGCAGTTACTGTGTCAATACACCTGGTTGAGGGTCTTCCTCTTCTTCACCAACCCTCTATCTTTCTAAGCATCATGTTCCTCTACAAGGAATAGCTCCTCCTAGCAAAATGCCCAAAGTTTGTTTCAGATTAATAGTGATTAAACAAAATATAAATTGGTAAAAAACTACCTCAATCAAGTTCACATTTTATAGCCTCTCGGTTCTTTATTTCAACTGAAAAGTTCATTATCATATAATTGAGGCATCGTAGAAAAATACATACTCTGAGATAGAAACTACGCAAGTATTACTTAGTTTTAGTTTAAAGAGCTATGATGGCTTTGGCTTAGTTGTAAAACATTGCACTGTTAACCCAAAGACAGGTAATTTGAATCCACCAGTTGCTCTGCAGGAGAAAGATGGGGAATCTTATCACATAATATGTACTGCCTATAAAAACCAGTGGGAAGGTGAGCTATGAGTCAGTTCTGACTCAATGGCACATAAAAACAAGAATAGTTATAATTTAATCTCTATATTAGATATAAATTTAAGAAAAATACAGTAAAATGAATAAACTGTCTTGACATCTATTGTGAAATTTAAACATAATTAACACTGGGGAAGGATAGTAGTGTAATTTCAATTCAGCCCTATTCTCAATAAGTGGAGGTGGAGTTAGTGTAAAAGTTGGCTTTTTTAGCCATTTACAGTTAGCCTATCTTGTCTCCACCTACCTAAAATACAGACACATGGTCTGGCAAAGTAGCATGGTCTTGCAAATCATCAATAACTGTGGGACTAGGATACAAGAAAGAGTGCTTCTTACACTGGGCAGCAAGACTTGAGGAAAGCAAGACTTGTGGCAAGTAAGACTTGTGGTAGCAAGACTTGAGGGACACTGGAGAAAGAGCCTGGTGAAAGTGAAAGCTTGGTAGTGGAGAGACTGGGGCATTGATATAGAGAAAGTGTGGAAAGGTGTAACTAGTAGTCCACATCTAAAGGCCAAAGTTAACCTATTTTGCTGTTCCTGCCTTTCTTGATAGAAGGAAAATTGGCATGCTGAACTGAAACCTGAGGTTGGACTAACTGAAGAATTGTACTTTGGGACGGCTTACCTAAAATTTGGCTTTCCTTTGGGGGATATTCTTTGCTTGCCCACCCCCTCCAACTTACTTCTCTAATAAAACACCAATTTCAGTAACACAACTGTGAGACTGTATCAACAACGAATAAATGAACCTCTTGCTGCTGGTGTAGGCACCTTGGGGTTGGGATTTGGGCTCTGTATCTGCTTTCTTCTCTTGGGTGGTGAGTAGCTGTGTTAATCACGCCCTCTGCTTTTTCAGACACACATTGATGTTCCTGTGCCCCCATGGTCCATTTTCTCTTCTTCAGACTTTTGGTGTTTAGGAGTGGAATTCATTGTTTCAGATTCACAGACCCATGGTTCCGTGTTTTTTTAATGTGGGACTTTTGGAGATGTAAAGATTAAATGGTAATTAATTCTTTCAACAAAGTGGGGGGAAAACCTACAAAGTTACTTTTACTGTTACTAAACTGGAAAGAAAAGTTGAGAAGCTGCTAGTTGAGAAGCTGCTTCTTGCCTGAGACAAAAGAGTATAAAGATGAATCTGAGAATTTCCTTAAAACTTTCTGTATGAGTCCCCCCTTATATGTCATAATGTTACATTGATATATATGATAAAAATGACTAAGGTTTTTGTTAACTTGATTATAACATATATTGAAAAGATGATTAAGGTTTTTGTTGCTTGCTATGTACATTGTAATTAGAGGAAAATTGTAAGCCAGTTGGATAGAATGCTTCTCATATTAGGCAGCAAGATTAAGATGAGGAAGACTTATGGTGGAAAGACTTGAGGAAGACTGGAATAAGACCCTGGTGAGAGTGAGACCTTGGTGATGGTGACAGAGAGACGATAGCATTGCTGTGGAGAAACTGTGGCAAGATGTGACCTGAGAATTCTTAGCATTTGTCCTGGCCACAGTTATAGATTTTTTTTTCTGGATACTTGAAGGAGAAGCTGACTTATGACTGCTCTGAGGCAAACCTTGCTAAATGATTAGGATTTATTTGACTGCTGAATTGAAACCAGATCCTGGACTATTTGAGGAATTGTGTCTTGGAACTGCACTATAAAATTTGGATTTGCATTGATAGTCTTTGTCTCTCACACTCTCCAACTAACTTCCCTAATAAACCCCATTCTCAGTAGCACTACTGTGAGTCTATGAGAAAACAATGAATAAATAATCCCCCTTGCTGCTGGTGTGGCTCTAGAGAGGCACCACAGGGCTGGGCTATGGACTTTTTATCTGCTTTCTGGTCTGGAATGGTGAGGAGCTGTGTTATTCTGATTACCTCTGGCCATTTCAGAGAGATGCCCATGGCCCTCTGCCTCCATGTCCAGTTTTCTCCACTTTAGATAGCGGATATAAAGAATATCAAAGAGATTTTTATATCTGGTATATTTTCAAAGAGCTAATGGTAATTGTTTAAAGTTTTTCTGTCTCAAGTCCTTGTTACATTTCTAAACATTATTGGGGAACTTAAAGAGGTTTTTGAAAAATATTGATTACATTAATTTATATTTAGCATTCTAAAAACTAAGCTGAAGAAATGAAAATATACATTATTTTATAATAATGAACATTTAAAACATTTTAGCACAACAAATACATTTTATAAGTAATAACTTTTAAAATGAAATTAAGTTAGAAAATTGGGATTTTTCCATATTTTTGCAAATGCATACAGTATCTAGCTCAACAGAAGATGAATGAACATATGCATATTTGCTTCCACATTCACTCTGTCAGTTATCATACAATACACTGTATCCAGAAAATTCAGCCATATACTTGTGAGATAACAAGAGAACAATGACAAATAACTTATATGTGTTATTATAAAAATAACTTTGATTTTATGGAGTCCTATGAAAATTGTAGATAATCCCCCCAAAATTCCAGACCACATTTTGAAAACCACTCTATTTCTTTAATATCTTATGAAACAATGATAGTTATAGAAGGGCTTCAGACCTTTGGTCCATAGGGTCATTATGAACTGTGATCAACTTGAAGGCAGTTATCAAAACCAAGGACAAACGTCCTTTTTTACAACATTTTAATAGTGTTCTGATTTTCTTTTGAACCTACTTTATGTTGCTCACTTTTGAAAATGGAAAACCTAGAAATTAGCATGAGTATTTATATGTGTAGAATTCCTTTCCTTGGAGGCTGTAAACAAAAGAAAGTTTATTAATGTTTCCATTTAATTATGAACTTTATTCAATATTAATTTCCTCAAAAAGATATGAAGGAAAGTAATTTTTGTGATTATGGAGAGACTACTTATCTTCATCTCTTTCATAAAGAAGGCTTTTCCTAACCTTTTTACATCTTGTTCCCACACCAAAATGGAAGAGGACTAATACTGAATTGCTTTCCATCCTCTTGTCTTTGGGTCAACATGAATATAGTAGAGTTCATTCAAGTTTTTCTCCCAGTAGTCAAGATTTTATTTCTGTGGTTGATTGCCCACACATGACTGAATAGATAATTTAGCCTGCTTCAAGGTTTTGAGCAGACCTACCTGTGGTTTATTGAATATCACAGCAATTTCTTCCAGTATGGTCTTTCAGTATCCAATAGCCATATTCTATCTGTGGTGATTTGTAACTCAGAGAGGGAATTGTGGTGTTACTCACTGGATGAATAACATGTTCAATTTAGAGAAAAGAGTAATAAGGGGCCAATTCCAGAATATTCCAGATAATAATTTTTTAAAGAGACTATGAGCATAATTCTCTACCTCCTCCCTTAATTTCTACTCCATTTTTAGGACCAGCGAGGCTGCCAAGAAGACCAACTTACTAAAGAGCTTCAGTTTGGGAGAAGAAAAGACATTTTGTGGTTCTCCTATATGGGCAGAGATCTCTTATCTAACACTCCATTAACTTTTGAATTTTTATTTTCAACATAAGCTTTGACTGACATTTTTTTAAAAAAGACCATGCCTCTAATACATTTTTCCTGAGCCAACTTAATAACAATCAGAATTTTGAAGTCTTACATATTTCATTTGTAATCCAAAGGTTTAAGTATTTTGAGTAACACAAATGAGTGTATGTTAACTGAAATAAATTCTATTGAGCAAATCTAGAAATATCAGAGAAAACATCAAGATTGAACAGTTCTTAACATGGAAAATTTTTTAAAAAAGATTATCTCCTAATTTTCATCCCTGTTTTTTATTTAGATCATTAAAAAGTGCTTGTTTTCTACATAAGGCACTTCTTTTTCACCTCATGTTCCCCAAGCGTTTGAACTTGAGGTGAATTCATAATTCTGTGATTATGACATCACCCCGTCGCTATGGGGATGTCTGTGATTTAACAAACAGAATCATAACAATAGTGCTTTGTACTATTTAGTGTTTTTCATCTGAAGATTAAAAGTATTTTGCAAACAGATTCTCAATAATCCTAGCAACCTCCCATTAGAGTGTTTGTTGGAATTGTTCTTTCTCATAAATTGGAAGAACTGAGACAGAAGCAGGAGTAAGGCTTTTTTTACAGATACCTACTGTAAAGCAGCAGCTGGACCAGGACCCAAGCTTATTCTCAATAAGGGCAAGAGATCCATTACCGTGTTTTGGTTTGTTTGTTTTTCCTTTCTTTATAGAACCACAGATGTGTAGTCTTTCTGTGAGGATACAAGCCTTTGCCATACTTGATAATGTAGGCCCCGGACTATTGATCTTTCATTGTTAGCTTCAGAGTATGTCTTGATTTTTCAGAAAGCATCTCTGAAAATCTGAAGACTTTTTAATGGTGAGATCCATCTTTTCTAAGGAAGGTGAATTGAAATCAGGGAGGCTATTTTAACATTTATAGAGTATTCATGGATATTTTTCTAAAGGAAACAATCCTAAACTAACAAAGACAATGTTCAGCTGCATTAGCAAAGGCGGACTTTTCCTTCCTTGGTTTTCATGGTTTTGTAATCCACACCAGATGTCACATTCTAAAACTTCAAGTTTAGAATTTTGAGTTACCATCCCCAGTGAGATCATAAACACATTTTATGGGGCTGCTAAGTCACACACCAAAACAAATTTTTAACAAATCAGTTTTTTTTAAGAGGAAGCAAAACTAAGTGAACTAGACAAAAAAACACTTGGAAGCGTACCTTTGAACCATTTGACTTGAGGTTGGGGAACACCAGAGGTTTTACATTCCATAACTGTTGTATCACCAAGGGCAACCAAGAGCTCACTCTGAATGACCATCAACTTTGGAGCTTCTGCAAAGGTCAAATATGCAAATATTTAATGCCACACGCAACCCGTTGGTGGTTATGAAATTAATCAATTAAAAAACTATGTATGTGCTTCCAGCTATTTTAATATCTATAATTAAAAGAGAGCTCTTATAAGACCTGTACATGTGGATTTATGTTATGAAAAGATTAGTTTTTTTAGGAAAAAAGCCCACAAAATCACTATGAGTCCTAGAAGATTTCGGAAATTTACCGAATTATTTTTATGAAAAAAAATTAGGAAAACATAATTGTGGAGATTGAATGCATCTTAAAAAAGCAATACTAGGTGAGTGGGGAGAAAAATGCACAATGAATGAATGAAAATCCAAAATCTCTGTAAATGATCATTGAAATTAATTTTTAAAAAAGCAATACTAAAGGAACAGAAAAGAGGGCCACTAATAAGAGTAAAAGAAACATAATCAAAAGAGGGATGATAATAAAATCAATCTATCACTTAGTAGATTAATTAAGCTGTGAGAGTAATATAGTTGCTGACGAAATTATTTCTAGCATTTTATACCTCTTTTAATGATATTCATATCTAATAACAAAGAAGTAACACCGAAAATGCTATCTATTGAAAAACATCCACCCCCACATGACAAACTTCAAGTCTCTAGTTTTGATTCCACTTTTCATTTTGGTGCTATCTAAAGACATTCCCTCAGTCCCTTTCTGTGCTCTGTTTTCTGTCTGCATGTCTAATGCTTTACTAATACACATTTCCTCTCAATTGCCCATTTTAGAATGGGCTCACTAACAACTGACGTTATTTTTAAAACAAGATTGACCTTGTGTACTCTGCTGAGAATAGCCACTTACAGTCAAGGTATACTGATTCAGAATCTGAGGTTCTAGTTAAAAAGTAGATTCTTATTCAGTATATCTAGGGTGTAAATGCAAATTGCCACCAGGAGTAGAATTGGAAATAACTGGTTCACAGACTTGTTTTAAACAAAGCCAAGAGTTAATTTTTCAAAGATCATGCTACTCTTTTAAAATCTTCAGTGATTTACTATTGCTTTCAGAATATAGCCCAAATTTTAATTTGGTTTTAGATAGGTAGATAGAGATAGAGATATAAATATAAATAATATAAATATAAATATCTATCTCACAAACTAGTACATGTCTTTCTTTTTTGTCTTAGATTCCACTGTTGTTGTTTTGTACCATCCAGTCTGAACCAACCCATAGCTGACCCTCAGGCAGGTTTTCAGAGGCAGTTAACCACTCGGGATGAGATTGCCCATCCTTCTCCTGCACAGTGGCTGGGGGATTCGAACCACATGTCTTCAGGATTTCAGTGCAGCTTCTTGTCAGTAGGTCACCAGAGCTCCATTATACATCCCATTTAATATAAGGCATTTAAAAAAACTCCTCCTATCAATTGCCATTAAGCCAATCTGACTTGTGGTGATCCTATGCATTTCACAGTAGATTATATTCCATATGTTTTTCAATAATTGTTATCTTTTGGAAGTTCCGTGTGTAGTATAAACTGTTAAGCAACTGAACTACTAACCATAAGACATATTCAACAGATGCCTTGGAACCTAGGCCTCGTAATCTGTTTTAGAAAGACCACCATTCACTGAGTATAGCTCTACTCTGTACATACTAGATTACCGTGAGTCAGAATTAACTTGAGGGTAATACATTTTCTTTTTGTTTTGTGTATGTATTTGTGTTTGTTATCTCTTGGAAATTGATTGCCAAACTCTTACTGTATAAGTCATTATCACTGTAGTTAGTTAAAACTACATATATACTATGTTAAAGTATATATATATATATATATATATATATATATATATATATATTGATTATATATAGCTATTATCTCTCTATATATATATAGATATAAAGATATATTGCTATATTGATATATATAGATGATTCTGCCTCACAGAGATGCCATGTTGTAGAACAGAATAATTCCACAGGGTTTTGAAAGCTGAGATCTATCAATAACAGATCACTCGATTTCTCTTCCAAGATGTATCTTGGTAAATTCAAACAATCAACTACTTGACTGGTACTGGAGTTTTCGTTCAACTCATTGATGTTAAATTGAAACCAGTCCATAGCTGCCTCTCCCTTGGGTTTCCATGGCTATAAACCACATGGGGAAGGGACTGCCCATGTTTTACCCCAGGAGCTACTAGTAGACTTGAGTTGCCAAAGAGGAATGCCTGAAATTAGCAGGGATAATCTCTATAGTTACATAAGTACCTCACCACACCCTCTATTATATTTTCCTTCCTTTATTAAAGCTATTTCTTACGACTGAAATGTTCTTTGCTACAACCCTTCAAATCACACTCATTCTCTTAGATTGAGTTTAAAATCTGTATTCTTTGGGAGATACTTGTGAATTTTACTGTATAATTAATCTTTCTGTCTGTATCACACTCTGGCACTTTTCTTTCAGTTTTGTTATATTGCTTTATGTTTCTACTTCTAGTATATAAGTGCTTGGAAAGTAAGGATTATGTGACATTTATTTATTTTAAAATTTTTACTGTCCATATCATATTATTTTGCTTAACTGAGTGTTTAACAACTTAAATGTGCTGTACATTCAGCTCCTATGTGAGCAAACCTAAATTTGTTTATCCTAGACAGTTCTATGTTACTCACTCATTCTTTTTCTCAACTGTCTGTTCTTTTTCTACATGGGTGTTCTACCAGCCTTTTAAAGTCAGCTTTCTCCAAACCAAAGCTCACTTCCCCTTCTAAATGTATTTCTATGCCAAATAAATGTGTGTACAAGTGAAAGTATTCCTTTTTAGGATTTCCAAGTTCAAAAAGTAGTGATATTTTGTTTCCTCTCTCATCTGTCTTCTCAAAATTCAATCATCCGTATTCATCATGGCTTTCATCACACCTCTTTCTCTTCAGTTGGTTTTACGTCCCTCCCATGAATGAATGGAGAATGGGTGAGAGGGTAGAGGCTTAGCTATTAATTATCAACAGTTGATTAACATTTAGCTTATAAGACCTCTACCCTTTATTTGATGAAGAAAGAACAAATTAAATAAGCATTCTGTAAAAGAATTGCCATGAAGTAGACTTTCATGAAATGGCTGACTGGGTAAAAATGGGAGATGTAAAATGAAAATAATACCTGGATCAAGAAAATAACAGAAATATTATAATCATTTTAACTGTGAATTTGAAATGTAAAGTAGAAGTTAAACTGGAAAAAAAACAACAACAACTATAAGCCACAATGATTGCCCTGGGGTAGATTCTGACTCACAGTGACCCTCCATTTAGCATCCAAAGGTTTACAAGATGAGACTGCCTTTCTTTATTGAATCGAGTGGCTAGTGGATGTAGACTGCTCACTATACAGTTTTGAACTGAACCTATAATTTATTGTCACCAGAAAAACTATAAACTCACACTCAAACTCAACATCATTATGTTGGTTTCAACTCTTAGTGACCTTCCTTTCAGTTTCTCAGGCTGTGAATCTTAATTGGAAGAGATTGCCTGATTTCTCACAAGGAGCCATTAATGGATTTGAATCACTGGAGATACACACAGCCTTTGAGTTAACATATGATTCACTACAGACAATGCCACAAAAACTCCAGAAAGGACCCAAAATTGATTATTTTGAAAATTCAATTTTGCAGAGAACAGATGAATCGTGCAAAGGGAAACACTGAGTTCAACCTGGAACTCTCATAAGGGAGATGCTTGCTTGATTTCTGTTGATGAAGATACTAATTAGTAAATGTTCAAGTTGGTTACAATATATGCTTTAGTGCAATAATACCTGAAGTTGATAACTAAAACATAATATTGTATGTAAGTTTTATCTAACAGAAATTTTCAAAACAATATTTTCATATTGCTTTTTATACTCTTTATCTTTACAAATCAGTCTTTTAAACAGGTATACTTGCCAATATATCTAAGTGTAGATGTCTGTTTATCTGTTCCAGCTGAGTTACTTGCGAGGCAGCCATATACACCTGCATCACTGGGAACTGCATTTTTTATAAATAAGGTACCATCTGAGGTCATCCTATACCTATAAATAATAAAAGAATAAAACAAGAAATAGCATAATAATAGCATCAAGATGCTACTTCCTTCAAATAACTTAAACTATTTCAAAATTATATTCTTGGTACACATGGAAGAAGTGTTTAGCATCAACATTTTATATAAATAAATATAGTAAACTAACAAATGTTACATGTTATAAATTGTTCTAGGATTCCTTCATTTGTTAATATTTTTACTCTTCATAAAAATCCCAATATTCAGATATTATTATGATACGCAAAGAAGTTGTCTAACTTGCCCAAATTTAGGATTACTAAGTTGAAAGAACTAGAGTTTTCACTCAGCCAGTCTTGTTCCATGCAGTAAACTGCTTTGCTAAATGATTCCTCAAAATGAAAACCTTAGGACTGAAATGTCTCTTGTCACACAGTAAGTCAGTGATGAGTCTAGGAATAGAAACTGGCTTAACTTGCTGGATCGTACCTAAGCCTTCCTTCTCATGCCAAATCCAGAGTAATGGAAGCCCGATGGTTGGAATCTTTGTTGTTTATGTTCCACATATTCATTGCTCTTTGAGTGTAAGAGGAGTCAATGGTTTTAAAAAGCATCCAGTAGAATAAAAGAACTTTCAAAGTAGTATGACAAAAGTAGACAGTAGTTACAAAAATGCCTCTGCCTACTTTAATCAGACTGTCAGGGCCTTTGCCTGTCCCTCTTTCTCGTGTTGCAGAGCCATCTATTCCGTAAGTAGATGTGTTAAGGCTACACATTCCTTTACTCCACAGAATATTTATTACCGCCACTTCAGTTATCCAAAGTAAACCTATTGTTACGCTGTTACACTGTACAACTCCAAGTACTGGGGATGTACTTAGTCCCAGCTATTGGATTCAAACTTAATAAGTAAAAGCTGTATAAATTAATTTTTTTTTTACATTTCTTGGCTTGCTTAGAAAATCTAAAGCTGTGGGTTTTGGTCAAATCTCACTTAATCTTAGGGATTTGGTCATATTAGTTTTGTGTAGAAATTTTACCAGTTTTCACACTCAACAAAAACAAAGAACATGATACAAACCCAGTACCTGTGTGAACCCACAAGAAACATATTGTTCATGGTCCAGGAGATCTTTGGCTTTGGAAAACCTGTTGCAGAACACATAATGGAGACCTCAGACCCTCCTGTGAAAGATTGATTCTTGGGCATCACTGTGACTTTAGGTGGTTCTGTAAATAAAAAGAGAATAATGTATGAGCACTTGGTCTTGGGTGTGGCCTCTGTTAGTACTTCTTTGGCCTTTCCACAGCCAAATATTGCTCTTCTCTGTGATGAATTCATCAGACATTTGGTTCTTCCTGTATAGAAGAGAAAACACAACTAACAAAAGCAAGGTAAATTAATCCTCTTTAAGAGAGTAAAGTAAATTTTATCCTAATATTTCCGTTAGTGACCATGCGACCCTTGTTCCACACACTGACTAACGTTTTCTGCCTGTAACTTCAGTATAAACCTATTTCAAGGCCAAGTTTCTAGGCAGAGTCTTTGACTTTTTCTACAAAGTGAACAAAGTCATGGAGCAACAACTTTGGTTGTCTATGTTGTCTGCTATGTTTGGATTAAGCTTTTATTTACTAGATTATAAATGAGTTGGGGTTAGAGAGTGTATCTTTCATATATCCATTCCTCAGGAATCAATAGTCCCTACTGTTATGTAGTGGCTTGCATTTAACAGACACAAAACTGTTGATGGAATGAAAGCCATGAATGCTAACATGGTTTTGACCAAGTAATACAACTCCTTGAAGAAGATTCTATGTATCCTCATACCACCAGATACATAGGACCTCAACACAAGAGGAAATATCTATCATTGAAATCTCCTAGTATAGTAATTAAAAGGCTTATGAAGAGGAAATGTTAAACCAATAATATAAAACCCCTCATATTATGAATATACTGTCAAAAAGAAAAATTCTCTGTGACAAGTCTTGGGTATTGATATATTGGCCTGATCAATTATACCCTTTAGAGCTACCTTACTATATTGGATGAATGAACCTTAAATGAAATTGTGAATAATTTGTTACTATCATCAATCAATTGAAATTATGAAAAGAAATTTACTTTCTACAATGTTTGAAACATATTTAATGAGTATTAACAAAATGAAACAACTCATTCATAACATAAGTTTGTTGTTGTTGTTGAATGATCATAAACAAGGCACTGTGTTAAATTCTAGGGATACCCTGAGGAGCCAAATTGGCAAGGAGTTTGTTTTCCATCTTACAAGGTTATTACAACTGAAATTTAAATATTCAGTTAGTGAGATCTGAACATATTAAAAATGTATTCTCACTATAACTGAGTATGCAAACAATGTCTTCGTTTCATTAAGAAAAATCAGCTTGAGAAAACTTCCTTCCTTTGAAAGAGGGAAAATTGGCATTGCCGGAGAGCAGTAGCTACCCAACAGAACAAATCTAATTAGCACTTAATCACTAGTGGCTTACAATCCTCCCCCTTTTTTCCCTGTTTACATTGCTTTTCAACTTATGATGATCTTGTCTTTGAAGTTAATCTTTGAAAGGGTTTTCCAGCCTGTAGACCTAGCTGATAGCCCCATTAACCCCTGGATCCTTCTTGGTGAACACAGGGCTAGAAAGCAATGAAGCCAGAGGCACACTAGCCAAGGACAGTAAGCTCAAACGCTGATTCCACCTGGAGTCCATCAAGCCTGAAATGTTGAAGAACTCTTCACATTGTGGGAGTGTTGTAGAGACGCTCCAGGAGATGATGAGAAAGAATGGGATGTTTCTTTAGTTTTAAAATTTATTTACTACCCATATTTAACAAAAAAACTGTTTCTCATGTCTCGCTAGGACTTTCATAAATATTCTGGCATCTTTTAGGATATCATCTTAACATGGTTCCTTCCAATGAGTCTGTAGGAGTTGACCTGGCATCTTTCCCAGCACAGATCCCACTGGTAGGCTCTGTAGTCCAGACAGTAACGTGAAAGCTAACATCAGTTACCAAGCCAGAGTACTGGAAGCTGAGAGGTCATTTTGCAAATAAAACCTGGATATAAGGTATTGTTCAGGGTCATGAATTAAGTTTGTGTATAGCATACAAACATAATAATTTCATTCAACAGAAGGTGAGAAATATGCCATTGTATTGGGGGGAGCAGAATCCCTGCTATTAATAACAAAATCATTTCTGAGCATAAACAAACAGAGAAGCAAAACTGGATTTCCACCAAATAACAGCTGAATAAATAAAGTAAAAATGATTTAGTTTTACTTAATTAGGTTAAACAAGAAACTAAAAGACCTTACATTATTTGATTCAACTATCTCTCAGGCAATTATCAAGATTATCAATCAGATAAGAGAAACTTTTAAAAATTGCATGAAAATAAAAGCAATATACAATAAGACGTAACCAGAATAATATCATTAAATAAAGGGAAGATATAGAGAGGTGAACAGAAATATAGACAACATAAACAAAACACTAGTGGATACACAACCCTGCATTATCAATGATAAGATTAATTTTCAAATATGTATACATTCACAGACCAAAATGGATGTCAGAAGAAACTCTGAAGATTGCACTGGAACGTAGAGCAGCCAAAGCACAAGGAAGAATCCAAGACACTAAAGAGCTGAACAGAAGATTCCAAAAGGCAGCACGGAATGACAAAGCAAAATACTACAATGAAATGTGTGAGGAGCTAGAGTCAGAAAATCAAAAGGGCCGAACTCGTTCAGCATTTCTTAAGCTCAAGGAACTGAAGAACAAATTCAAACCTCGAGTTGCTACAATCAAGGATGCTTTAGGCAGAATGTTAAATGATCCAGGGGTATCAAAAGAAGATGGAAGGAATATACTGAGTCATTGTATTGAAAGGAATTGGCAGATACAGAAGAATTTAATGAAATAGCATTTGAGCCAGAGCCGATGGTGATGAAGGCAGAAGTTAAAGCTGCTTTGAAGGAAATAGCAAAAAATAAGGCCCCAGGAATAGATGGTATACCAATTGACATATTTCAGCTAACAGATGCTGCCGTGGATGTGCTCACCAAATTATGCCAAGAAATCTGGAGAACAACCACTTGGCCAACTGACTGGAAGAGGGCTATATTTGTTCCCATCCCAAAGAAGGGTGACCCAACTGAGTGTGGAAACGACAGAACAATATCATTGATTTCACATGCAAGCAAGATTCTACTGAAGATTATCCAAAAACGACTGGAACAGTACATCAGCAGAGAACTGCCAGAAGTCCAGGCTGGGTTTAGAAGGGGTCGTGGTACTAGGGATATTGTAGCTGATGTTAGATGGATCTTAGCTGAAAGCAGAGAATACCAGAAGAATGTCTATCTGTGTTTCATTGATTATGCAAAGGCATTTGACTGCGTGGGTTATAACAAACTGTGGCTGACTCTGAGAAGAATGGGAATCCCAGAACATTTAATTGAGCTAATGCGAAACCTATACTTGGACCAAGAGGCAGTCGTCAGAACAGAGCAGGGCAACACTGCATGGTTCAAAATTGGGAAGGGTGTAGCCAGGGATGTATCCTATCTCCATACCTTTTCAACCTGTATGCAGAGCAGATTATCCGAGAGGATGGGCTCTATGAGGAGAAGCGTGGTGTTAGGATTGGTGGACAATCTATTAACAATCTGTGTTATGCAGATGACACAACCCTGCTTGCTGAAACTGAGGAGGACCTCATGCACTTACTGCAGAGGGTCAAGGACTACACCCTTCAGTATGGACTGAGGCTCAATGTCAAGAAGACAAAAATTTTCACCACTGAACCAATCGGTAGCATCAGGATGGATGGTGAAGAGATTGAGATTGTTCATAGCTTCAGTTTGCTCGGCTCCACGGTCAACACTCTTGGCACCAGCAGCCAGGAAATAAAAAAAAATGTATTGCGATGGGAAAGTCTGCTGTTAGGGACCTCTCTAAAGTAATCAAGAGCAACGGTGTCTCTTTGGAGACTAAGGTGCGCCTGATACAGGCCATGGTTTTTGCAATCACTTGTTATGCATCAGAGAGTTGGACAATGACTAGGGAGGATAGAAGGAGAATTGACGCCTTTGAGCTGTGGTGCTGGAGAAGAGTATTGAATATACCATGGACTGCCAAGAAAACAAACATACTCATCCTAGAGAGGGTTAAACCAGGCTGCTCCTTGGAGGCAAGGATTCTGGGGCTTTGCCTGACATACTTTGGGCGTGTTGAAGGAGAGACAGGTCTTTAGAGAGGGACATCATGCTGGGTAGAGCAGCGGGACAGCGCAGGAGGGGAAGACCCTCTATGAGGTGGATTGATTCAGTGACTGGGGTAATCGGGATGGGTGTGTCAGAGGCAATGAGATTGGCACAGGATAGAGCAGAGTTTAGGGCTGTTGTACATAGGGTCGCTATGGCACATAACAACAACATACATTCACAGGCAAGATGAACAAATAAGCAAGATGAACAAGTCAGGACAGGTGAAACCATTACATTCACAACCATATGCAGATCTGGTAGAGGTATTTCTACATGTGTTTCTGTATATGCAGCAAATATTTTCATGTATATAGTAGAGCCAGCAAAGGAGAGAAATCTATGTAAATGTCTTAATTATAACTAAACATCCCGGGGGAATGACTTGCTGGACGTATGGCTTGAGGATCATCGTCTAATTGGATATCAAGGCAAACTCGTATAACCTAGACAGTGTTTTACATTGTACTTTGTAAGTGGTGACTGAGATTATAAACGTTGATAAGCAGTCATGCAAGGTGCAACTACTGAAGGATATCTCAAAAGTGCACAGAAGTAATCTGTTCAGTTTTGTAACAGTGGTCGCTTGAACAGCAAGCTCCATGGCTGTGCAGTAAGAACTAGATGGTCCTCAGTCATTACTGCTCACCACTCTAAAGAGGATCACAATAGAAGGTGCTGTACAGAGTGAGAAAAAGGTTTAGAACAAACCTAAAGATTACAAAAATGGTCAGGTTTATTGGATTTAAATAGACAGATGGGAAACACTGGAATATAGAGGCTTTGTCACCTTTGAGCCTGGAAAGAAATTCACTCATGAGCATCAACTTTCAGCCAACCAATAGACAGGTCCATAAGATGCACAGTAAGTGTAGGAAAGTGTCACTCTTAATTATATAACTTTCCAAAGACAGCTACTGACCAAGGATATG